GAGCAGGGAGCCCGATGCGGGGCTCGATCCCAGGACCCTGGGATCATGACCTGAGCCGAAGGCAGATGCTTAACAACTGTGACACCCAGGCGCCCCAATAAATAAAATCTTAAAAAAAAATTTTTTAAATGAGAAAATCAAGACGCAGAATATTTTTGTATGGTAAAATTTCATTTATGTATACACATCCACACATACACTGAATGTGAGTAGATAGGGTTGAAAAAAAATGCCGGAGTTCAGAAGGGGTTGGGGTCAAAGGGAGGAAGGACTATTTTTTTTTGTTTTGCATTTAAAAAATGAGATAATTATAGATCTACATGCAGTTGTAAGAAATAATACAAAGAAACCCCTTGTATCCTTTGCCCCATTTCCCCCAAGGGGAACATTTTGCAAAACTATAGTATATTACAACCCTATAATGTCAATTATATTGTTAACAATCATGCTCCGATTTCTCTAGTTCTGCTTGTCCTGTGTGTATATGTGTGTACTAAGTTCTGTGCAATTTTATCCCCCACGAAAGTTCATATCTCCATCATCACAGATAACGAACGCTTTCACATCGACAAGGATCTCTCTGCCCTTTCATAAAATCACTCTCACTTCACTCCTATATATGTAACATTTGAAAACTAGTTAGACTTTCTAGAAAAACGCATGTATATGAGTTTCAGATGGAACAGAAGTTGGTTGGTTGAGGGATTACAGGCCTCACTTCCTTCTGCATACTGCTCTTTACCTTGGAAATCTCATAAATACTACCAAAATGCTGGGAATGGTGAGATTTCGCCTGATTCTTTTTTCCATCTTCAAAACTTCCCAGAGGGATGCCTGGGTGGCTCAACCAGTTAGGTTAAGCGTCTGCCTTCGGCTCAGGTCATGATCTCAGGGTCCTAGGATTGAGCCCTGCATCGGGCCCCCTGCTCAGCAGGGGGTCTGTCTCCTTCTCCCTCGTGTCCCCCAATTCATGCTCGCTCTTTCTCTCAAATAAATAAATAAATACAATCTTAAAAAAATAAATAAAAACAAAAACAAAACTTCCTGGAGCATGGGCCCATTTCGTTTATAGGTGGGAAAGGAAGCGCGGCTCGAGCCTACCTCACCCTGGAGCTGGTCCCGGAGGTGGGCGGCTTCCCCGAGTGCCACCTGCAGCTGGAAGTGGGCAGACGCCTGGTCTCTGAGTTGGCACTGCAGGGTCAGCACCCGGTGCTGGAGCTGCCCCATGCGCAGCCTCAGGTCCTCCATGGGGGGGTCCGCCTCTGGGTCCCGCAGCTGTGGAAATCACCCATCCGATTGAAATGCTTAGGTTAGCTTAGCTTCCAAGTAATTTGTCTCAGCAAACAAAGGACCTGTTTCCCTTAATTTTTTTTTCTGGCTTATATTTTTTCTCAGGTCAACATTTTTAGAAAATAAAGGAACAGAAATCACCCCAAGTCCTATTAGCCAAAATCATCATTATTATCCATATATTTTTTCCCAGTCTTTTTGCTATGCATTTATGCATGTGCACATGTGAGCGTGTGGCTATGCTGGGGTTTTTGAGTGGAGGGGTGGGTGTTGGAGAGGGTCTGGGGAATCATAGAAGAACATTCTAGAATGTGATTTTCAGCTATATATGTGTGTGTGTGTCTGTGTATATATATATATTCAGATATATATATCTTTTGCACATCTTTTCAAAAATATGCAAAATGGCATGGCATTCCAGAATCTGTTTCAATCGATTTCAGTCACCACGACACGAAAAAAAAAAAAAAAAAAAAAGTATAATGAATGGAATTTAAGGTTCAAATCCAATTAGGAGATGCTTATTACATTAAAGCATCCTCCGTTTATATAAAACAGAGGATACTGCATTCCCCCCCGCCCCAAACGCTTTTCTTAAATCAGTACAAAATGGTCTCTCACTCTTTTTGGGTCAGACATGAGCGGGTTTCATATGGATGTCCTGGGGAATTTCTGGGAGGCAGAAAGGTGGGAAGGAGAGGTGATTTAGCACTCTGGGGGGGGGGGGGCTGGATAGTAGTAATGCTGCTTCCCCCAGTGGTTCTGGATTCTCAGGTTTTATTTTTTAATAACTTCCATCCACACATAGATGCATATATACACACAGACACACCCATACATTTTCTCTACATAACATTTAACAGACCATTTACATCTTTGGTATCCTGCTTTTCTCCCTCAATACCATGTCAGGAGCATTTTTCCATATTATAAAAGGATGTTGAAAACACCATTGTGAGCATACATTCTGTGGCATGCTGAATGCTCGGGGCATTCTAAAACTTTCCTGCTGTGGTTGGGTTGTCAAAAACAGCCTTCCACATAACTACTGGACGGACCTCTGAGTCCTTCCCTGAGATCATCAGAGGGGGATTTTCTGGGCCTAGGGTCTGAGTATCATTAAACAATTCACATGCTACAGTGGCCTAGGAAGGTGCAGCACTGCTAATCATCAGGCTCTGTGCACAGGAACCCAGAAGCTCAGAGGCTTTTCACACTCCCTTCCTTTGGCCGTGGCAGTCCACCCTTCATTTAAAGCACTTGCTACCCTGGGAAGGTGAGGCCTGCCAAGGTCATCTCTGCCTTGTGCTCTTGGCCTGGTTGTGAGCAGGGGGGCAGAGGCTGAGCCATTCTGCTGGGAGAGGAGAGAGAGGCCAGTGTGAGGACAGAATCAACGTGCCTCGTGGCTGATGAGGACTCCCCCTCGTTAGTAAAGAAATCCAAGAGCAGAATGTGGTTTTCTCCTAATTAATAGAAATTCACAGAGCGTGGGCCTGAGATGCACAGGCTGGGCCCTGTCAAGAACAGATGGGTGCTCCGGATGGTTTCATGAAATCCAGCTCTAAGACTTGCAAAACAACTTGGCCTTTCTGGGAAGTTTGGTGCCTTCGCTGCGTCCGCTCCCCAGTGACTTGGACAAGGGGTTCGCCCCAAGGATCCTAAGAGTATGTTCTACTGGATCCCCCAGTATGTTCTAAAGAGAATGGGCATGTGGGGTGTGGGGTGGGGGCCAGCCCTGCCTGCCACATGGGACGGCACCACCCAGCAGCCTTGTGATGGGCCCCATGACCCACTTGCTCCCAAAGGGGCATGATCGGCACTGGCTCCAGCCACATGCTCTCCGTGGGCTGAGAGCCATGGTGCCCAACGGTCCTCGGGGAACTCTGGTGGGGGAGACCGACACAGAAACAGGCCATTCGACACAGCACGGCAAGGGGAAGTCAGGAGGCACTAAGCCAGGAGGCAACTACTCTTCTCTGGGCTGGTCGAGGGGCTCGCGAATCCGTAGCATCTGCTGATTCCCATGGCATAGATGCTCCCACTAGGACCAATGACAAGCTATGAAAATGGCGTCACACCTCTGCATGAGCCCATCCTGTGGCCCTGGAAGGCGCTGTCCCCCCAAAAGGAGACCCCGAGGATGTGCGGCAGTTCCCAGGAGAAGGCTGGGGTAGAGGAGGGGCCAAGCAAGGATGCCAGAGGGCAGAGGGTGGGAGGTAAACAGCGACAGCTAAGGCTCCCCAGGCCTGGATTAGAATTCACCAGAAGGAACTGGGATTTCACACCAAGTACAAGAGGAAGGGACAGAAGCATTTTAAGCAAAATAGCAACATGATCAAGTCTGTGACTTGGGAGGATGAAATGGGGAAGCTTTCTTGTCCTCTGTCCCCTGTGCATCAACAAACCTCATTTCCTTCAACTCTGGTTTTTGTCTGGAATCCTCCCTTCTTGTAGTTCCAAATCCCTCTATCCTGGCATCATTTCTTGACTACAAAGTTGTCTTCACTGTGTTCCCACGTCCCCCTGGCCCTCTTCCTCCCAGTAGACAATGATCTTTTTACAAAAGAAATTGAACCACATTGTTCTCCTGCTTAAAAGCCCCCAGCGGCTTCCCACTGTATTTAGAAAGGATCATAACTGGGGCCTGCAGGCCATCTGAGCTCTGCTCCATCTCACACCACACCCCACCCTTGCCACGTGATCCCGCCACGCTGGCTACTTTCTGTTTTTTTCCCTATGAGCCAGGTTCATTCCTGCCTCAGGACCTGGCCACTTGCTTCTCCCTCTGCCTGAAAAGCTCTTCATCTGCCGCCCCTTTTCCCACCTTGAAACGCTCAGCTCAATATTCCTCTCCTCAGAGTCCAGTTTCTACCAGGTCTGACCAGCTGAGATTGGACAACTACAAAATCTGGGGAAATGCATAAAACAATTCTTTGCAAGCATCAAGTGGCAGCCAATGCACGGCTACAATCCTTGAGGGAAAGGATGCACATCAAGGCGAGCTCCACATTCTCTCTGGATTTCTCTCTGCAGCATTTTCCAAACGATGGTTCAGGAGTGGGAGCCCAAGCTGAGAGGGGTGGTCCTGCTTGATGGGGGACTCAAGAGGCTGGAGTTCAGAGATGCTCTGATAGCTGGGTCTGTGGAGCAAAGTAACAGAAAGGAGAGAGCCAGGTACCTCCCTAGAAATGCCCGCTGGATCCATGGCTGAATCCTATGCTGGGCAGCACAGTGCGGGGTTTGGAGGCCTAGCAGAGAAGAGAAGCTGGCAGGCCAATTGCTGAGGAGACTTCAGAGGTCTCACACTGCTGCCAAGATGGCAGAGTTCTGGCTGAGCCCAAATTGGTGTCCTCAGTGAATACTCAGGGGACTCAGCAGCTGCCCCTGAAAGGTCATGCCCCAGGAGGAAAATCAGGCCCTAGGACTGGGTTGAAACTAACATACACCTGCCCAGGAATGATCTGGTCTGCTGACCCTTCCACCTGCCAGAGCAGAAGGCACTCAACATTCTCTAGCAGGAGATAACACCCAGGAATCTCTACCAGATATCCTACATGATGTCCAACATAAAATTTTTTTAAAAATCACTAGACACGTGAAGAAGCTGGAAAATGGGACTTAACCAAGAAATAAAATAGTCAATAAAAACAGATGCAGAGATAATCCAGATACTGGCATTAGCAGACAAGACCTTCAAAAATAACTATGATTATATATTTTTTAAAATATAGGAAAAATAGATGAAATGAATGAAAAGATGGGAGTATTTCAATAGAGAATGAGGATCTCTTAAAAAGGATAAAATGTATATCCTAGAGTTGCAAAATATAACAAATGAAATTAAGAACTCCTTGGATGAAATTATCAGAAGATAAAATACAACAGAATACAGAATTAGTGAACTAAATAACGAGTCAATAGAAAATTCAAACTAATGCACAAAGCTTAAAAAAGGGGGGAAAATAGAACAGTTTCAAAAGATGTGGGATATAATCAAAAAGTCTGGATTCTAGGAAACAAGAGGAAAATAGAGGACAGAATAAATATCTGAATAAATAATAACCAAAAATTCTCCAAATATGATAAAAGACTTGAATCTACGATTTTAAGAAGCTCATAAAAATCCAAACAGGATAAATACAAATAAAACCACACCAGGCCCATCACAGTCAAATTGCCAAAACCCAAAGATAAGAAGGAAATCTTAAAAGCAGCCAGAGAGAAAATAACACACTTACTTCAGGAAAACAAAACCAAACAAAAAAACCATGACAAAAACAACCAATTTTTTTTCAACAGAAACTGTGGGAGCCAGAAGGCAATGCAATGAGATCTTCAAAGTGCTAAAGAGGGGGAAATCTCTGCCTACCTAAAATTCTGAATCCAGCAGGGGGGATAATATCTCTTAAAAGTGGAAGTTGATGTTTGTTTTCATAAAAAGAGATAGGAGAGAATTCATCACCGGCAGATCTTCACTCTGAGAAATGACAAACTCTTTAGGCAGAAGGAAAACAGATCCCCAGGAGTGAGAGCAAGGATGGACAGCACAGGACCGTGTGGGAGATCCAGTAAATGTAGAAGATTATCGCTTGCCTGGAATAACAATAGTAACAATGCCTTATGAAGTTTATCATCCATGGGCATAATACATATGACAAAAATGAGGAAAAGAGAAAGAGTAAATGGAGATAAACTATTAAAAATTTTGCATTATTTATTAACAATTATTAATTTATTTGGGATTTCTGTATTACATGTTAAAAGTACTAATTTAGGGTACATTTAAATAATGAATAGATACATTCTGAAATCTCTAGGGTAAGCGCTGAAGGAATGATACTAAAATGTATAGCAGAATGAGCTAATGGAGAAGACAAAGGAATAAGAGAAAATACTTACTCATACCAAAAACAAAGGTAAGAAAGGAGAAATAGAACAGAACAGAACAAAGAAAATACATGGTAAGAAGGGAGACAAACACCCAATTCTAGCATCACATGTATGAAATATATGTGGACCAAACACCCCAAGTGAAAAGCAGAGATAGCAAAACTGAGCCAAACAAAAACAAACCAGCCACATGCTGTTTCAAAGAAACACAATTTAAATATAAAGATGCCCACAGGTTGAATGCAAAAAGGTGGATGGTCTAAAAGAAGTTAGATTCCATGAAAACACTAAGGGAAAGAAACTGATGTGACTACTTCCATATCAGACGAAGTGCAATTTGGGCAAGAAGCGTGGGAGATAATGAGGGGCATTTCATCATGATCAAAGAGTCAAGTCAGCAGGAAAACATAATTGTAAGTCTGCATGTATCTCATAATAATATCCAGATATATGAATCAAAACTAACATAACCAGAAGAAGAAATACACAAATGCACGTTCAGAGATTGCAAACATATCTGGGTAAATAACAAAGCAAATAGCTGGCCCGTCAGTAGATCTGATCAGCACAATTAACCAGCTTGGCCCCATCACAATACTCAACAACGGCAAACTATTCATTCTTTACAAGGACACCCAGGATATTTACCCAAATAGACCATAACCTGGTCAATAGAATAAATCTCAAATTTAAAAATAATTAAAATAATATAGTTATGGGCCCCTGGGTGGCTCAGTCGTTAAGCGTCTGCCTTCAGCTCAGGTCATGATCCCAGGGTCCTGGGATCGAGTTCCACATCGGGCTCCCTGCTCGGCGGGAAGCCTGCTTCTCCCTCTCCCGCTCCCCCTGCTTGTGTTCCTGCTCTCGCTATGTCTCTGTCAAATAAATAAACAAAATCTTTAAAAAATAATAATATAGTTATGTTTTCTGACAACAGTGAAATAAAACTACAAATCAGGAACAAAAATATAACAAAAAAAATTCAGCAGGTGCTTGGAAATTCAGCAACACACTTCTAAATCACCCATGGGTGAAGAGAGACGTCACAGATGAAAACTAGAAAGTACTTTGAAGTGAACGGACATAAAAGCACAACATATCAAAATGTGCGGGACGTAGCTGAAACAGTGCTCAGAGAGACATGCAGAGATGTAAGTGCATAGATCACAAAAGAACAGCTGAAAATCAATGATCTAAGCTTTCAACACAGGAAGCAAAAAAAAAAAAAAAAAGAACAGCTAACTAAATCAAAAGAAAGTGAAAGAAAGGGAAGAATGAAGGTATAAATGGAATCCAGGGAAATAAAATACATACAATGAAGAAAACTGACAAAACCCAAAGGGATCTTCTGAAATGACTGATAAAATTGCCAAGGGGCGGGGGGGTGAGGGAGGGAAAGGGGGAGAGAGAGAGACTGGGAGAGAATGAATGAGTGGGTACAAAGGGCTCGACACTGAACATCTTACAGACATCAAAGGCCACAGTGAGAATATCATGAGCATTTCATCCTGGGATTCCTGAACAGCGAGAACCCTCCATACGTGTGGACAATGACTCAGGGAAGCCCATGTCTTGGCCAAATCACAGATGTGGCTAAGTGCAGAGCTAGGTTTGACCCCCGATTAAGTCCTAAGTCCCTGCTCTTTCCATCGTCCTTTTTAAGACCCAACACGGAGAATGACTGAGGTGTTAGCCAACCTATGGTGATAATCATATTGAAATACATAAATGTATCAGGTCAACACATCGTGCACCTTAAGCTTATACAATGTTATATGTCAATTACATCTTAAAAAGAGAGAGAGAGAGAGAGACCCAATGGGCAGACTTAGGACTTGGACTGCTTGATAAACTCTTGGATCTGAAAACATGAGCTCTGATCTTGAAGTGCCAACACCGCCCCTCCGCTGTCCCACCCGATACCCAGCGGAACAGCCCAAGGAGGGGGGAGGGCTAGTGTCCCAGGTTGTGTGCAGGAACACAGGTGGCGAGTGCCCAGGTGGCAGTCCCAGCCCCACCCCTCCTGCCGCATGACTGCCCGGTACTCAACATCCCTGTGCCCTCCTTCTCTGCTAAGTGGGGATGATGCGGTACCTCCCCCGAGGGCTGCCTGGGGAGCCTCCCCTGAGGAAAGGGGGTGGTCAGCAGTCTAGACAGCTAGCAAGAGGCCGAGGCAGCAGCTGTGTGTTATCAACCTACCTGGGGGCCATTGCTTGGGGTGGTCGGAGCTTGCCCTGGGCCCACAGAACACCCTGGTCTTTCCTCCTCCTCTTCCAAATGTGCTTCTTTTACTCCTGCTCCATTGATGTGTCCTTGAGGGGCACTGGACACTTTGGCACCTCCCCGGACCAAGGACGGAGCGCCAGAATTGACATCGTATCTGGAATTCTCCATGCCTAAGGAAGGCCCCATCCACCTGTCAGCTGGACCCGATTTCTCCTCCAAGGGCAGCCCGTGGGCTCTTGGGGTCAGTTGCCCTGAGAGCCGAGTCACCTGCACCCCCCTTTCCACAACGTTCCCCTTGTCCCCCTGCACCTTGCTTTCCCCCTGCAGACCCTCCTCTGCTCTCACCACATGGCCCACCGCGGTGCTCGCCCCCACCGCAACTTCCGTCTCCAGGACGCGGATCCTGTGCAGAAGGTGGGCATTCTCCCCGCTGAAGGCCCGGACCGTGTCTTCTATTCCCAGCACTACACCCTTCATCAGCTCCTTGTAACCGACCCTGAGCTCCGAGATCAGTGCCTTGAGCTCCTGGTTTCCCAGGGTGACGCGCTCCATCACACCTTTGGATTTTCTGAGGCTCTCCCATGTGGCTTTGTGAAGCTGGGCCATGTGACTTTTCAGCTTCTCATTCTCCTGTTCGAGCTCAGAAATTTTGCCGTAACTTTTCCCATTGCAGTCTTCAAGGTCGGAAATGACCTGCCAGCATTGGTCCAGCTCCCCCTTTAAGTGAGAGATGTCCCCTAACAGTGTGCTGTTTTCCTGTTCAAGCATGGCGATCTTTGTCCCATTTCTGTCCCTCTCTTTTTCGAGGATGCGCAGTTTTCTACGGCATCTCTCTCGGTCGCCCCGAAGCTTGGCGTTGTCATGTAAAACCTGGCCTCTCTCTTTTTTCAGTCCAGAAATGAGCTGCTGGAACCTTCTCTTCTGCCTTTCAAGGGCTCTCGGTGGCCATTTCCGACCCAGCTCAGCAGGCCCCTCTGGACACGGACTCACGTCATCCAAATCAGGCACCGTCCCCGGAAGAACCGCGCTGGCTCCCAAGGCCTCCGTCTCTCCTGGTCTAATCTCTTCACTAACCTCCCTGGGTTTGACTTCCCTGGCCAAACAAATATCCAAGCCCTGGTTTCCCAAACCCTGCCGGGAGTAAGCCTTCCCCTGGCAGCGGGGCCATTTCCAAGGCAAGTTCCTGCTCTCTCCCGCTAGCGTGGAAGCTTGCGGCCACCGCCCCCCACCCTCAAGCTCCAGGATGGAGAGTTGCTGGAAACAAGCTTCCATCTCCTTTTCAAATTCGTCTGGTCTGAGCTCAGAACTGCCAGGTTCTTTGCTCAGAGCCCATGGGTTACTGGTGGATTCAGTCCCCTTGGGTGAAAAGGCCAATCCGGGAGCCGGTGTCAGACCTCCCTCTGCCACTAAGAAGAACATATCCTGGCCAGCACGTTCCACGGGGCCAGGCTCCTCCGGGACATCCCCATGGCCCAGACTGGACCCTTCTAGAGGCGATGCCTCCTCCTCCTTCTCTTCTTGCCCTTCGTCCCCAGGGCTTTCCTCTTGCAGATGCAGAGCCTTTCCAGCCCACACAAGAGTTTCCTCCTTGCCCTGCCCTGCAAGGAGCTGAGCGCCGGCTGGAGACAGCCTCTGGGCACCCCGGGCCCTGGCTGTGGGGTGCTCTTCCTCCTCTGATGATGAAAGCCCTCCCACACTCCCCCTCCTACTCAGGGGTTTGGGCCCCTCCGTTGACACTGAGACCTCCTGTAGAAGAGGCAGTGGGAGATTTGGCCTGGGCCAAGGGCAGGAGGCAGAGACCTCGGTTTCTAAAGCCCCGTTCTCGATGCGCACGCCACCCCGCAAGTTCAGGTTCACTCGGCTTTCCTGACTTAGCTTGCTCCCGTCTCGGTGGACGTCTTCCTCCTTCCTGCCCCAGGCCTGCCTCGCCCCCTGCTCTTCCATTCTCCACTCTGGTCCTCCTCCGTCTTTCCAAGGGTCTTTCAGATCTCTGGGCCCTCTCCTGGGAAATTGCCGACTTGAAATCTCTGGGGACTCCTGGCAGAGGGGGGCTTTGGGGCTCCTTGCCCAGTGATGATCCCGACGTGGCTGTCCTATGGCTCGGGCATCCAGCACCTGTTGCATTTGGGATTCTTGTGGAGAAGCCTCCTGGAGCAGTGGCAGCAGGGAAGAGGGGTCTCTGGCTGGCCCCCAGGGAGGGAGTGTGGACGTCTGCACCAGGAGAAAGGACCCCTGGGCCTGGGCAGCTGCTAGCCTCCGCCCCAAAATCCAGGCCAGCTCCACGGGGAGGGGTGAGCCATCCCTGTACTGCCCCGGGGGGCAGCCACAGAGGAGAAGGAGAGCCTGTTCATCCAAGCTAGGCTCAGCAGGAGTCGGCTAGGGACGGGAAGAGAAGAGAAGGTATGAAGCAGCCCCTTCCTCCGTTTAGCCCCCCACACCTCTGTGACCTCATCTCCTGATGCTCTTGGTGTTTCCTCACCTGGCCTTATAGGCCTCCCTAACATGCCGAGCCCAACACCACCCCAGGGCCTTTGCACCTGCTCTCCCCTCTGCCCAGAATCCTTCCCCGGATCCCCTCTTGGTTCACCCTCCATCCATTCACATCTCCGCTCAGATGTTACCTCCTCCAGCAGCCCCCTGGTCATTTCACCACGCTGTGTGTTCCCCTTTACTATGCTCCCACCCTCTCACAGCCTGCTGTGTATCTGTGTGTGCACTGTCTCCCCCCTTTATCCCTGCGGTCCAACACATAGCCTCAGGCCACCAGCCATGTTTCAAGAGCTCAGAAGCTTGGGGTTCATGGCTCCCCTTCTGGATGGCACAGGCGTAGCACATTTCCATTGTCATGGAAGGCTTCAGTGGACAGGCGGTGTAGACGATCCGCTCCGAGGGCCGGGGCCCTGGGCCTAGACCAGTGCCAGGCCCCCAAGATGCATTTCATAGATATTTTAAACTATACTTTTACATACACTTCTTCAATGCAAGTAATCCATTCTGTCTCCTCAAACCTCCCTCTCAATTATCTTCCAAACCCTTCTTTAGCCCCTTCTCCCACCTCCCACATGCAGTAGGGCTGGTCAGACCCGGCTGGCACCCCGGGGCACACGGGAAGCCTCCAGCCTCACCGGTCCACAGTCAGATCCTGTGATGTCTTCCAGGGACTCATCCGTGGTCTCCAGACCTGGCACCAAAACAGAGGGTCCTTGTCCAGTCCCGACGCATCCCCAGGAGCAGCGGCCCTCAGAGGGCTGGCCTGGGAGGCGAGAGGACCCCAGGAGTTAATGAGACCCTCCTGGGAGTTTTGTCACAACTGCCACTAGCGACTGAGCCCCCAGCTCTTGGGATGACCTGGCACTTCTCACTGACTCAAGGCGCTCGAGCCCCAGAGGCCTAAGGATCACCACCACCTGCCAGGTAAGGAAACCACGGCTCAGAGACCGGGAATGACTGTCCTCTGACACGCAGTGGACTGGGTCTGGAAGCCACCTTTGCCGACCACGAAGCTCACACAGGTGGCAAATCCCATGACACCTCCCTCAGCCCGGGCACCCTCAGGGTCCCACAGGGTCCTAATCCCCTGCCTCCAGCCCTGCCTGCACGGCAGGCATGCAGAAAGGAGCTGGTCTTGGCTTCACCACCAGACGGGCCCCTCCTTCTTCGCCGAGGACAAATTTGACCATGTGACTTGCCAGCTCTGTCCCCCAGAAATAGGACAGTGGGGGAATGACAGCTGTGTGGGTCAGCGGCACTGCTGGCTATAAATAACCCCCTCATCTCTAACCGCATTTGGCCTTGGCAGACTGTAAGTAAGCCACAGACTCCCAGTGGGACATCGTGGCTTTGGGGCTCCCCGAATATAGTGGCTTTTGTCGCAGGGAATCCGGAAGCCGTGCCCAAGACTGTGATCAGAGACACTGGTTCCCATTAGGGACAAGTCAGGGACAAGGGGCTCCTCAGCCCCAGCAGCTCCCAGAAACCTCGCACCTGTCGCACACCTGAGCTGTCAGGGGTGGGGTGGGGATAGGATAGTCATCCCATGGCCTCCTGCAAAGAGCCCTCCTCCGAGACACCCGCCGCCCCACGCTGGCACGGGCGGTGAGGTGCTAACAGGAGTGAGCCTACCGGTCAGCTGAGCCCAAGTCAAGGGCCTTGTCATGGACGTTGCCGCCTCTAAGCCCACCTTCTCCAGCTGCGTGACATCAAGCAAGCAACACTACCTCTCTGAGCCTCAGCTTCCTGTCTGAAGAGCGGGCAGTCCCCCCGCCCCCGGCCCCCGGCACATCGTCCTAGGTGAGCTAGCCTGCCAGCCGGTGTCCCTACAGGTACCCCACACACCTGCAGAGCCCCCCGGCACAGCAGCATGGGCGGAGCAGAAGGGGGCTTGCGGGCCTTGTCTTCTGCAGGCATCCCGTGCGTCCTCCCTGGCCGGGGACAGTGGTTCATCCTGAATACGGCTCAGAGCATCCTTGAGGAAGACACAGGAAGAGAGCTGTTGAGTGTCCTCACAGCGGAAGGGTTCCCTCCGAGCCCAGCCCAGCCCCAGCGACTCCAGGAGGGAGCCAGATCCCCACCCCTGCTGAGGAAAGCAGAGGGCACGCGGCCTGACCGTGGCCTTGTGCTCCTGGTCCTGCGGGCCAAACTCCCTCCTGCTAGCACCTCTCTGCTCAGCAGACAATGAGGCACGGCAGCCCATTCTCTGGGGAGCTTGTCTGTCCAGCCAAGATGCGTCTGGGCTCCCCAGAGGGGCACCACAGGCTCCCAGGTCTCTCTCCTTCCTCTGGGTCCCATACAGCAGAGGCAGGGGTCTGCCCAGGGGCTCCAGGCGGACCTGTCCCTCAACCGTCAACAAGTCCCCAATGCTGCAGTCAGGTGTCTCCGGGCGGCACCCCCTCCCCCTGGCCTCTCCCAAAAGGCAAGCCTGGTGTGCAGGGAGGAGCCTCCCTGAGCCGGCTCCCACCTTGCAGAGCATTATTTAGGGACAGCTCAGCTCTGACCCATCGTCCACGAGGGGCTGGGGATGAGTCTGGGGAAGACCCCCCTGCCCCTTCTAGCCAGGTTCTAATGGGTGTTATTTGCTTCCCTCGCTGCCTCCCCCACTAGACCGTGAGTCCTTCAGGCCTTCAACGTGGCTTCACCTGGTCTGCACCCCCACCTTAGCCTGACACACATTAGGTGCTTAATAAATGTTTGATAGTTAAATGGAAAGGCAGAACCTGCAGAAAGACAGGTGCTCAGCACTTACTCAGCAAGCACTTATTAGGCTCTGACTGTGTGTCAGGTGCTATTCTAGGTGAGGGGAGAAAACAGAAGTGAATAGGTAACACCTGTCCGTCCCCTTCTCACCTGCCCCCCAGCTCCTCACCTGCTCTCAGCAGAGCCCTGCATCGACTCCCAGCTAGGCCTCCTTCTTCCCCCGCCCCCCAGTCCTGCTCGCAGCGCCAGGGAGCCCTCCTGGCATGCACTCTCCCACCTACAAGGCATCCCTTGGCTCCCCCCAGTCTGGGATGAGTTCAATGCTGGAGTGGGGTACTGTAGGCCATCCATGGGCTGCCAGGGGTGCCCCTGATGCTCCTCACTCGGGTTTCTGCTCATGGCAGCCTCCCTGCCCCTCCCCACCCTGGTTCGTGCCTGCCTCTGCACCTCTGCATATGCTGTTCCTTCTGCCTGGATGGCACGTCTTCCTAGGAAGGATGTGGGTTGCCTGCACCTCACTCTCTGCCCCTCCCTTCCATACCCCACTCAGCATCAGAGCAATCCCACTGAAACAGAAACAGGATCAGGTGGTTCCCCTGTTTCCAACCTTTGAAGCTTCCCACTATACGGAAAGAGAAAACCCCTGCCCGGGGACATTGCCCCCACCCTCATTCTGCTCCTTAAAGAGACCCTGCTCCCCCCCATGTCAGAGCCCTGTACCCCCAGCGCCTGCTGTCTGCCTCTCTTTCTGCCCCTCTGCCCAGCTAACCAGCTCCCCTCTGGGCTCAGCCTTCCCTGGTCCTCCCCCAAATTAAGTCCACTCTCTCCCTCAAGCATCTCCTCCTAACGCTGAGTTTGGGACCTTCCCGTTGTCTGTGTCATGTCCAGCATCCTCACAGACCAGGAATCTCAACCCTGGCTGCACCGTAGAATCACCCAGAAGCTTGTAACGGTCACAAAGCAGGGCCTCAGCCCACAGCCCCTGCAGCCAGACGGGCCTGGGTACCAGCATCGTGCTGTGGGCGCCAGGCCCGCTGACCCGCGGTGCCTGATGCCGCCTCTTGCATTGATCCGCCTGCTTCCCGCGTGATCAGAATGAAGCACTTCTGCCAGTGTCTTATGGGCACCACTGGAAAGAGGCAGAGAAGGGAAGTGGAGGAGAGAGAGGGCAGAAGAGAAAGGAATGAGAGGAAGAGGAGGGAACCAGATGGAGAATGGGAGAAACAGAAACTCGGCTTGGAAGCCAGCAGGAGAGCGATAGCAAGGAGGACAAAGGAGGGGGCCAAGGAGAGTTGGGAGGGCAGCATCAAAGACCAACTCTGCCGCACCATTCTATGCTGTTCGGATTTCCTTCCGATGCCCAAGCTGACTTCAGCTTGGTTCCACAAATACTTCCTGAGCATCAGCTAAGGGACAGGCCCTGTTCTGGAGCTGGGGATACCACCATGGATAAAACTCAGAACCCCGGGGCGCCTGGGTGGCTCAGTTGGTTAAGCGACTGCCTTTAGCTCAGGTCATGATCCTGGAGTCCTGGGATCGAGTCCCACATCGGGCTCCCAGCTCGGCTGGGGGTCTGCTTCTCCCTCTGATCCTCTTCCCTCTCGTGCTCTCTGTCTCTCATTCTCTCTCTCAAATAAATAAATAAAATCTTAAAAAAAAACAAAAACAAAAACTCAGAACCCCTGCCTTGGGGAGGTGACCTGATGGGGAGGAGGGGCCATCATAGAAGACGATGCTACCCCCCTTCATGTGACAAGTGACAAAATCACTGCTCAGAGAGGGAGAGTGACTTGTCCGAGATCACACAGCACACGGGATGGGAGAACAGAACCAGAGCGCAGGTCTTGAACTGGATCCGGGCTTTCTCTCACCCTGTCAACCCCTCTCTGCTCAGTCTGGTCAACCCTTCCTGCCCTCCTTTACTCACGGGAGCAGTGACCCCCAATTTCACAGCAATTTAGCTTTCATGTGCAATTATTTTGAAAGATAAGCAAAAAGAAGAACATGAGGAATACAGAGCAATCCAGACACAAACATGATCCATGTGTTAGAATATACCCTTTTGGGGCACCTGGGTGGCTCAGTTGGTTAAGAGACTGCCTTCGGCTCAGGTCAGGATCCTGGAGTCCCGGGATCGAGTCCCACATTGGGCTCCCTGCTCGGCAGGGAGTCTGCTTCTCCCTCTGACCTTCCCTTCCCCCCTCTCATGTTCTCCCCCTCTCTCTAATAAATAAATTTTTAAAAAATCAAAAAAAAAAAAGAATATACCTTTCCGGGCTTTCTTCTTTGCAGAGACATTTAAATTCTTCCAAAAGTCTGTTTCTACAGAATGTCCATTTTTGCTTTGTGCATTTCTCATGTGATGATATCGAAGGACCATCTCCCCACAAGTTCCTCTGTAATGTGGTGTTTTATAGCCGTCTAATAACTGTTGACGTATGGAACGCCTTCACTTACAAAGGCCGTTCCTTCTCATGGGACATTTAGGTAGTTTCCAATGTTCACCAACTATAAACAGTGCCGAGGTACCTTTTACATCTGACAAATATTCAGAATAGAACAGAATCTCGAGCTTTCCCGTATTTATTTTGTAACACATTTGATATCTCTGCATAAGGCCACTAACCATTCTTATTTCCTTGTACATTACTTGTACCTTTGTGGCTTTGCTACGTTATTTTTTGACATCACTCACCTGTGTGAAAGCCCTTGATACCAAGTGTGCAAGAGTCACCTCTGAACAGACACAGAGTGAGCCAGCAGGGGCCGCCTGGGACCTGCCCAACAAGGAAACGATTCTCGTAACCGCCACCAGGGGTCGCTCCGCCCACACTGACGGGCAGAGCGGCTCCAACAGCGTCCGCATTCCCGACGCTACCGTCACCAGGAGCAGGATCTCAGCTCGGGCACCACAGCCTGACACTGGCATTTGTAAGTGTGTGACTTGCCATCTCCCTGCACAAGCCTCCCTCTAGGCCAGGCCACGGTCCCTGGGCTGTCCCCTGCCGCAGCAGTCTGCAGACCAAGTCTCCACTGCTGCACCTGTCTGTCTCCCCTATAAGCTTTCAAAGAGCGGGCTCACCCTTCCAGCCCCGGTGCCCGCACACTGCCTGTGACATGGCAGGTACTCAGGGCACGCTCGCTAGAAAGTGGACACATCCGCAGGCAGGCCTTTCTTGTCTTGCAAACCACAGTCCTTTTAAATTTCCTTTCACCCACACCCTGAGCAGAAACCCCCTCCCCAGACAGCTCCCCAGGCCAGGCGTTGTCCCTGCCGTGGCCTGTTCCTTCAGGACCTGAATCCCGAGTGATCTGCTCTGGAAACTGGCAAGTTGTGATCCCAGGCAAGTCATGTGCCTCCCCTGGACTGTGGGGTGGGTACAAGGAGGCAGATCCCTGCCTGGCTACCTCAGCACTGATGAGATCCTGTTTGGAAAAGTGTTTGTAAATACGAAGCAAGTAAAACATCTTCCCATGATGATTAACATCACCATAACTCACACCTCGACGCCCAGTGGGAGTCATCAGACGTATCCAATGGGCCGCTGCGTGGCGGGGGGGGACGGGGGCTCCCTGATGATTTGTAATGGTTTTCTATCCGATGCACACCTCCCCGGGGCTAGACACTGCTCCAGGTTTCCTGGTTTCTAGGCCTTCCTCCAGCACTGCCATTGTGAGGCGGTCCCCTCGCTGGAAGGTTCCATTTGCCATGGACAGTGGAGCAAATATTCACACACTCATGCAATGTTCTCAGAACTTTGCCTACAGTTTCTCAGGTGTTCGGTTCTACACCAAGACCCTGAAGGGCACCGGCAATTTTGTTATCAATAGGCTCTAGCATTTAAATTTGAAATCTCAGCTACACTTCCCCGCGAGCTAGTAACTGGCTGGCACTTTACATCTCCCCAGCGGCCCTCTCTTGTCCTCTTGCTCTCAAGATGGCCCTTTTAGACTCCAAAATGCTCCAAGTCAGGACTGTCACAGCCCTCTGAGAGTAAGACAGAGCCTGGCAGACTGTCACACCCCATGGTCCTGGGTCCAGCCCCCATTCTAAATGCCAGGGCCCCCAGCAGTGACCCACAGGCTGTCAGTCCCCTTCCTCAGCCCCACACCCTGCACTCAGATGGTTTGGTCATCCTGTGCAGGCGGGGGTCTGTCTTGGGCACTTTCCAGCCCCTGTACCCAGCTAAAGCCCAAGCCAAGCGTAGGCACCAAGTGAGCACCCATGAGATGCTCATTACTAAGCCCCTGACCAGTATGTGCTGGAGGGGCACCATGAGCCCCACCACTTTGTATCTCTGTGACCCTGGGCAGGTCATGAGCCTCTCTGTGCCCCTACTTCCTCATCTGTGAAATGAGAATAAAATAGTGCCTCCCTCCGAAGATTGTGGATGGGCTAAATCAGTGACAGATATAGATAGAGCCCAGAAAACAGTGTCTGGCACAAAGATGCTCTAGTGAGTGTTGGGGATCGTCAGCATCCACCCACACAAAGCTGGCGAAGGAGCACATGTTTCTACCATCAAGGGACTGGAACCCACAGTTTACCGCCATGCGGGTCTTCATAACTGTTCATCCAGAGGGACACTTGTCACGGGTTGAATGGTGTCCCCCAGAATTCCCAAGTTAAAGCCTTAATCTCCAGAATCTCAAAATGTGACCTGATTTGGAAATGGGGTCTCTGCAGATGCAATTAGTTACAATGAGGTCCATTCGTGTGACCGGTGTCCTTATGAAAAGGGGACACTGGGCACAGAGATAGACGTGCAGACAGGGAAGACGCTGGGAAGACACAGAAAGAAGATGGCTTCCACCAGCCCAGGAGAGGGGCTGGAACAGACCCTCCCGCACAGTCTCAGAGAGAACCAACCCTGCCAACACCTTGACTTTGGACTTCAAGTTCCAGAACTGCTGTTCAAACCACTCAGCTCATAGTCCTTCATTACAGCAGCCCCAATAAATGACAATTTCCATCTATCACGATTTATCTTCCAGAATTACAATAAGGTGCCAATATTAAATGTACACTGGTTTCCTTTTATCTGATGGATAGAACGGAGGAAGAATGAATAGATCACCCAGAAGAGAAACAAGAGCATAAAGTAATTTTTTTTAAATGGCCACAGGGAAACTCATTATTAATATGATCTAAGCAGAGAGACACCGTAGAGCATTTAAAATTCTAGTTAATTTGAAATAGATTTATCTTACCCAAAGAAAAATTTGACCTTTTTTTGTTAGTTTGTTTAACTAGTAGTCTTCTTTGGGTAAGGTTGCTCACTGATTGCTCCTTAAATGTAAACTGACCTGGTGGAAAGAAGCAGGATCTTGATCTCTTGGGAGGGGCTGAGTTAACTCTCTCTTTTCAGGAAGGCAGGCTGGTGCAGGAGAAACAGAACACTTTGGACTCCCATCAAATCTGGATCAAGTTCCAGTTCTGTTCCCTACTAGCTGTGTGACAACAGATCTGAGCCTCGATTTCCTTACATGCGGGGTGGGGATACCAAAAGCGCCCACCTCATAGTCTTCTTGAGCATTAAATGAAATAATGCCTTTGAAAACTCCCAGGAGGGTGCTGAGCACAGAGCAGGAATATCTTAAACGTAAGTTTTTACTCTTCTGTCAGTCAAATGAATAAACAGAGGTCCAATCTGCCCTTGCCTGCAGATCTTAAGAAACTTGCCCAAAGTCACACAGCTAGTAAATGAGAGAACCAGAAGGGGACCCAACCCTGTGTGTTTTCCACTGCTAGTCTTGGGGACCTTCTGTGTGCTGATGGTGTGGGCTACAAAGACCCATCAGACACAGACCCTGCCCTCAAGGAGCTCACAGTCTGATGGAGGAGAAATGAAGATGCACATACAGCATCGTCGGCAGGGAACCATCTCCACCTTTGGGGCTGTGCGGGAGGTGGAAGAGGGGCCATCACCTTCGACGGAGGGGATGGATTGGGAAGACTTCACGGGCACATGGCAGTTACACAATAGTGCACACCCAAAGGGGCTCATCTGGCATGGGGCCTGGCACACAGCGGGGACTCTAACTGCTGGAGAGATGGATGGACAGGAGGGAGCGGATGATAAGGGGTAAAGGGTAGCTGGTTGGCTCCCTGTAGAGTGGCTGGATGGAGGGATAGACGGGCAGGTGGTAGGGTGAACGAGATGGTGGAGGGTAGGTAGACAAGCAGATGGATGGATATGCAAACAAGTGGGTGGTCCGTGGTGGACAGGTGGATGGGTGGATGAGAAGGTGGACAGATGGCTAGTGGGGTGACTGCACTGAAGGATGGGTAGGTGAAGGTGTATGACTAGCTGTGCATTTAGGTGGGTAGGTGACTGATGGAACCAGGATGGATGGATGGGGCTGCTGGGGTTGGATGAGTGGATGAAGAGGAAGACTGGGGAATGAAGGAGCTGGTGATTAACACGTGGCTGTAGGCTAAAGTTAGAGAAAAATCAAAAAATCACTCGCGCCCTGGGTTGCGGCCACTTACCGGGCTGCAGGGACCAGCAGCGGCGGCACTGCGCGCTCTCTCCCCCAGGGCCTGGGCCCCCAGCGCCTCGCGCAGGCTCTGGTTTTGCTGGGCGAGGTCCTCCACCTGGCCCTGCAGGCCGATCTCCGACAGCTTGAGCTCATAGACGCAGCAGCGCAGATCCTCCAGCTGCCCGCGGAGCCGGCGCTCCGTGGCGCGCTGGTCCCGAAGCCGGCGCGCAGCCTCGTCCCGCTCGCGCTCGCCACGCTCCGCCCGCGTCTGCAGGGCGCGCAGCTCCGC